GAAGACCAGTCATGAAATCCACAGCAATATGTGACCAGGGTCGCCGAGGAACAGATAGGGGTTGCAACAGCTGGAGACTGAGACGGAGTCTTGTTTCGCGCACAAACCTGGCAAGCAGCGATATAGCCCCGAACGTCCCGAAGCATCGTGGGCCACCAAAAACGTTGCTTAAGAAGGGCGACAGTTCCCCGAATTCCTGGGTGGCAAGCTAGGAGGGACGCATGTCCCCACTGGAGCATTCGAGGACGTAGAAACTTGGGGACGTAGAGCCTGTTTGGAGGCCCCCCTGCAGGAGGGCGGGAGAAATGCTGGACTGCCTGGACGGCCTCCTCAATACGGCTCCAACAAACGGCTGGGAGGCAGGATGGGACTGGGGTCATCATTACGGTTCTCCCCCTCGAACTGTCGAGACAGTGCGTCTAGCTTGCCGTTGTTCACCCCTGGTCTAAACGAGAACAGAAAGTTAAAACTGGCAAAAAACAGAGACCACCTAGCCTGGCGGGCATTCAGGCGTTTAGCGGTGCGTAAGTATGCAAGGTTCTCATGGTCGGTCAAGACCAGGAACGGGTCCGTTGTCCCCTCCAACCAGTGCCTCCATTCCTCCAGAGCCAACTTCGCCAGCAGTTCGCGGTTTCCGATGTCATAATTCCTTTCGGCCACCGTCAGCTTACGAGAGAAAAAGGCACAGGGGTGCACTTTGTCATCCTCAACGGAGCGCTGGAACAAAATGGCCCCAACTCCTGAACCCGAGGCATCCACCTCAACGATGAACTGGCGAGATGGGTCAGGTAACTGCAAAATGGGAGCAGAAGTAAACTTATTCCATAGGTTAGTGAAGGCGTCTTGGGCATCAGGAGTCCACTGGAACGGAACCTTGGAAGACGTTAGAGCTGTAAGAGGAGCAGCTACCATACTGTAACCCTGGATAAAACGCAGGTAGAAATTGGCGAACCCTAAAAAACGTTGCATATCCTTCCGTGTGCGAGGCTGCGGCCACTGACTGACAGCCCTCACCTTGGCGGAATCCATTCTGACCGTGCCCTCTGCAAGAATGAATCCCAAAAAGGAACTCACACTTCTCAGCCTTTACAAATAAACCGTTCACTAGGAGCCTCTGCAGGACCTCGTGTACATGCTGCACATGGTCCCTCTCGTTCTGGGAAAAGATCAGTATGTCATCCAGGTACACGAACACGAAGCGATTCAGCATATCCCAAAGGACCTCGTTGACCAGGTTCTGGAACACAGCAGGAGCATTAGTAAGCCCAAAAGGCATCACCAGATACTCATAGTGACCAGTGGGCGTGTTAAACGCGGTCTTCCACTCGTCACCCTCCCTGATCCTGATAAGATGGTAGGCGTTCCTCAAGTCCAGTTTCGTGAAGAACCGTGCCCAGGACAGAAGATAACAACGGCAGGGGGTATCGGTTCTTAATAGTGATCTCATTCAAGCCCCTATAATCAATACAAGGGCGGAGCGAACCGTCCTTCTTGCCAACAAAAAAGAAACCCGCCCCCCGCGGGTGATGAGGATGGTCGAATGATGCCAGCTGATAAGACTGTCCTCTGTATTCCTCCATGGCTGTCCTCTCAGGAGCAGAAAGGCAATACAGACGTCCCCTAGGTGAACTAGTACCCAGAAGCAAGTCGATGGAACAATCGAAGGGACGATGAGGCGGAAGGGCTGATGCCCGGGACTTACTAAACACCTCCTGAAGGTCCTGGTATCCTGCGGGTATCTTGGAAAGGTCCGGGGTCTCTCCAGGGGCTGTAGACGCCACAGGTGACCGGGCAGAGCGTAGACAATGGGAATAGCACGACGGACCCCAGGCAGTGATAAAACCCCTTCCCCAATCGATCTGAGGGTTATGCCTAAGAAGCCAAGGGTGACCTACTGTAATACTAACGGGACCTGTGGGGTATCAATTATAAACAGAGAAATATTATCAACATGGTTGTCAGACAAACGGAGACTCACCGGGACAGTAGCGTGGGTCACTGTAGCCATTCTTCTTCCCGTGAGGGATTGAGCACTTGAATAGGTGTTGTGGGTATCTTCCACTGCTGAACCAGGGTGGCGTCTATAAAACTGTCCTCTGCCCCGGAATCAATAAGAGCAACTAACGACTGCTGCTGAGTCCCCCATGACAGCACAGCCGACAGGAGAAGAGGGCAAACCCGAAGCCACGCCCACCAGTACCCTCCTCCTTACTGGTGGGCGCGTCCTTTTACTGGACACGAAGCGACGAAATGTCCCATCTTCCCGTAATACAGGCACGCCTGGGAGGAAAAACGCCGCTGCCATTCGGCAGGTGATAACCGAGCCCTGTCAACCTGCATTGGCTCGGTCATGGCCTCTAAGGGGCTAACAGTGGACTCCGCGGGTCGAGAAACACGTGCCCCGTCCCGCCGTTCCCTCTCGCGTTGGGAAAGCCGGTTGTCTACGCGGAGAGCCAGGTCGATGAGATCATCTAACTCTTCAGGAAGATCGCGAGTGGCCAGCTCGTCCTTAATGCCTTCGGACAATCCCTGGTAAAAAGCATCAAACTGAGCTGTCCTTCCCGATCCGCAAGACATAACCAGGGTGCGGAAATGGATGGAATACTCAGAAACGGATGATGTCCTTGGCGAAGCTGCATTAACTCACGCGCTGCTTCTCTGCTGGATTTGGAGCGATCGAAAACGCGCCTCATCTCTTCTGCAAAGCTGGAGAAGCGTGAGGAGGAGCTGGAGGAGCTCCGGTGTCCCAGGCTGCAGTCCCCCATTCCCTTGCTGGTCCGGTGAGCAGCGTAATTACATAAGCAACCCTGGAGCGCTCGGTCGGAAAGGTGGAGGGTTACAGTTCGAAAACAATAGAGCATTGTGACAAAAAGGACCGGCATGAACCCGGATCCCCATCGTACTGACTGGGAGGTGACAGGCGAGGCTCGTTCGTCGATCGGCTTACCGAAGCGGCGAGGGCACTGGAATGAAGCTGCTGCACCTGGGAGGCTAATCCCGTCACGCCTGCGTGGAACGTCTCCAGGAATTCACCGATCGCCGATAATTCGGCCTGATGCTGTCCCAGGATAATCCCCTGTTTACCCAGGGCGTCCGTAACGCGCTGGACACCATCCTGATCCGCTGGGTCCATCTTGTAGGCGAGATCTTCTGTTGAGAAGGCAATAAGACGGACACTGACGCGGCAAAGCTGTAAGTCCTGTTTACTTCTCTCCTTAGGGAAGTCAGAGGTACCCAGG